ATGCCACTTTGCCTTGTGACTTCAAAACTCTCAGCTCCAATCCATACCTTTATTGGTATCGTCAATATAAACACCAAAGACCTGAACGAATCCTGACTGCTTACAACGCAAGATCCAGCAATAATCACTTCCGCGAGGGAAAGTTTTCTACTACTTTGGTTTTAGAAAATCAGAATTCAGTTCCTCTAAAGATTGGAAGTGTCTCTCTACTGGATGGAGCTGTTTACTTCTGTACTCTGAGCCCCACTGTGAATCATCTCTGTATACAGATTCACACAAAATCAACTAAATGAAACCAACTTCTACTCTTTACAGAGAGTTCTGCCTCGTAGGACTAACTTCTCATTCATCAAATCAAAGGATTTTTTTGCAGTCATCACCATCATCTTGAACAAAAAAATAGTGGAGAATGAAAGATTAAGACTCCTACTGGATTTTCTACAAGAAATATGTTCCCTTTTCACCTGGAATTAGCCAGAATGATTACAGTTTCAAAGAAACAATTATGGAGGATTGACACCGAAGTATCTGAAGGCAGGAAGTTCAATGAGAAAGAAGGAGGGAAAAAGAACAGAAAACATAAAGACTGTAAATTAGGGACTAAGTGAATATGGGAGAAGAATGAAGCAGAGATACCAGCAATTGTATTTACATTTGGTGAAAAGAATGTATCTGAAGGGCTGCCACAGTATCTGAGGGGCTGCCACAAGGAAAAAGGGGTCACGTTGTTCACCAAAGCACCAGAGGGCAGGACGAGAAACAATGGTTGGAAACTGAACAAAGAGAGAAGCAACCTGGAATTAAGAAGAAACTTCCTGACAGTGAGGACAATCAACCAGTGGAACAGCTTGCCTCCAGAAATCGTGGGTGCTCCATCACTGGAGATTTTTAAGAAGAGACTAGACATTCACCTGTCTGAGATGGTATAGGTTCTCCTGCTTGAGCAGGGGGCTGGACTAGAAGACATCCAAGGTCTATTCTATTCTATTCTATTCTATTCTATTCTATTCTATTCTATTCTATTCTATTCATAATAATAATAATAATAATAATAATAATAATAATAATAATAGGCGGCCTTATTAGGAACTGCTTCCATCCTGTGATATCTGTAATACCATCAAACATCCACATCTGCCTATCCCAGGTCCTGGGTAAGGACTCGATAGGTAGACAAAATGCCAAATCCAGTCTGAACATCTGGCTGACTGTGCGATGATCAATAATAATATCATCCTGTGATGATACCTGTAATACCATCAAACATCCACATCTGCCTATCCCAGGTCCTGGGTAAGGACTCAATAGGTAGACAAAATGCCAAATCCAGTCTGAACATCTGGCTGACTGTGTGATGATCCATAATAATAATAGTAATAATAAAGTCATCTAGTCCAACCCTCTGCTCAGGTAGGTAACTCTATACCAGTTCAGACAAATGGCTGTCCAGTTTCTTCTTAAAAACTTCCAGTGTTGGAGCATTCACCACTTCTGGAGGCAGGTTGTTCCACTATTCTATTCTAATGTGAAAAAAAAACATTTAACAGAATAATAGAGTTGGAAAGGGACCTTGGAGGTCTTCTAGTCCAGCCTCCTGGCTTAAGCAGGATACCGTATAGCATTCCAGACAACTGGTTGCCCAGTCTTCTTCTTGAAAGCCTCCAGTTATGGAGCACCTACAACTTCTGAAAGCAATTTTCTTCACTGGTTGATTATTCTCACTGTTAGGAAATTTCTCCTTAGTGTCAAGACTGCTAACATCGGATGTTCTTGCTTGCCTTATATGAAGAAGCAAACCTGTTTTATTTAGCCTGCATAGCACTTCTAGAGTTAAACCAGATAATACTAGCCTAGTGGATGGGAAAATATGCTAGCTAACCATAACAATATGTGAGCACAGTATTGCCAAGGTCAGCTGTAATGGGAGGGGCACTTCACACTTCACATTAATTGGAGAATGTGATTGATGATTGTAATATGAAGGAGTGAATTATGCTTTGTACAGGTGATTGGGAGAGCGAGGATTCAGTTTTTGGCTTAACTTCATATGTGCCGAAGCTATGCAGAAATAAAAGGATTCTTTAAGGTAAATAAGACTCAAAGTTCTTTGAAAAGCTGCTTCTTTTTGGAACCATGACATCAAGCCAAAAACCACAAACTTTTAAATCCATTTAGGGGTCCCTTACCCCAGTCACTATCCCTAAACTAACGGGGATAGTTTGACAAAGATTTGGGGAAGAAATGACACTTAGTTCTAGGTTGCTTCTCTTCTTGATTAATTTCCATCCATCGTTTCTTGTCTTGCCCTCATGTGAACCTTTTGGTCACCAGAAGAATGTACTGGTATCAACTCACCAATGACAAAAGTCCATTATTTGGAGCAGCACTTAAAAAAAAAAACCTACAGTGTTTGGATCTTTCCTAAATGTGATAGTTAAAACTATACAAAATTCATTCAAAAGGCTCTGTCTGTCAGTAATAAAAATATATAAAAAAAACCCTGCTATTACCATTAATTCAAATGGAGTGGCTTATTTTTTTTAAATAAAAAAAACCCATGTGGTTTTGATGAAATAATTCTCAAGATAAGATAATTATAATACTCTACTCTACTCTACTCTACTCTACTCTACTCTACTCTACTCTACCCTACCCTACCCTACCCTACCCTACCCTACCCTACCCTACCCTACCCTACCCTACCCTACTCTACTCTACTCTACTCTATTCTATTCTATTCTATTCTATTCTATTCTATTCTATTCTATTCTATTCTATTCTCTACAAGGATGTTCAAAAACTACAAAACACATCCACAGCCACTTTGTGTTCTTTTGACACCCCTGTGTGCACCCCTGTTATTTGGTGAAGTCCCATGGCTGAGAGAAGACTTTGGCAAGACAAACTGAGGTTGTCCCTCTTCCCAATCTGTGAGAACATCAGCCACCTTTCATGATAGGCTGGTTCTTGCATTTCATCTTAATAAACCCTACATTGTTTCTCAATTTAGACTCTCCTACCAGTGTGGGGAGCTAGATGCATATACAAATGAAGGCAAATTAGATTCATGTAATTGACAGCCAATGAAACAGTCATGGGACTGTGCTGAAACAGACAAAAAAAAAAAAAAAAACCAAAACCCCACAATAGAGAGAAGGCAGTCAGAAGAAAGCAAGAGAGATTCTTACAAGGGCTCATTGTTTAGACAAGATACCACCTGCTTTCTCTACATGTATCAGCTTCCCATCATGGGTTTGGCATCCTTCTCGCTAATATTATTGGCTCTCATGTCAAGTAAGTAATATTTAGGGTATCACTTATGGACATCTGTGTCTATTTTTCTTTCTAGGTTTGGTGTTTTCTTGTAGCTCCAAGACTTTTCTCCTTGGCTCAGCTTAAGGTTTTACATTTTGTATTCATTTTTATTCCTTGCACTTTGCCTCCCTTCCAAGAACTGAGGATGGCTTACATAGGACCTCTCCTCATTTTGTACTCCCCAAAACAATATTGTCTGAGAAAGAACGACTAACCCATGATCACCCCTTGGGTTTCCAGAACTGAAGGGTGTGGGACTTCAGCATGAGTTTTTCCATTCTTAATCCAAGATCTTAAAAGAATAAATCACGCTGATACAATTGTCTTGAAAGGTATCTTCTCGGTGTAAGATGCCACAGAGAAATCTCCTAATCATATGCCCAGAATTCTGCATTCAGTATGTATTATAGCTATGATAGCTAGTGATCAACAATTTCAACTGAAAGATGGAATTTGAGTAGAAGGACTGTTGACCGTTCCTTTTATGAACAAGTTGACTTTTCCCTTTAAAAAAAAAATCCTTTTCTACTTATTACATGATATTTCTCCTTAAATACTGCTAAGAGAGAGATAGGGTAGAGATGGTTGTAGGGCAAGAATCGTTCATATTTTTTTTAAAAAAAATGAAAGTTTAGAATAGAAAAGATGCAGTAGAAGGCCACCACAAAAGTCCTCTAGTCAAATGCAGAACACAGGAACCTACTAAGCCATCTCTGCAAAGAGCCCCATTCATCCCCAATTGATACCTCCAATTCGGCAGAACCCACCAATCCTTCAGATAGATAGTTCTTCTGCTCATTGCTTTTTATATAACAATGTCCAAGCATTATCTTTGATGCATGAACTTCCAATACCTTTATCAGGGACTACAGATGTTGACTTCCTGTTCTTTGCCTGTGTTTAATTTTATAGGAACCCTTTTCTGCCAAGCTGAAAAGCCTGACCAGGAACCCCTGCTAGAAGCATTAAATGGAAGAAAAGCTGATCTTTCTTGCTCTCATCCCAATATTCAAAGCAATGAATACATCTATTGGTACCGCCAGTTCCCTAACCAGCCTCCTCATCTTATTGCAAGAGGATACAAAGAACCATCAAAAAGCAATGTAGTAGAACAAATTTCCTTGATTGTTGATCATAGCCGAAAAAATAGCACTCTCTCCTTCACCAAAGTCACCTTTGAAGATCAGGCATTATATTTCTGTGCTATTGGAGACACAGTGTCACATCCTAGTAACTCTCTTTGTCAAGAACCCTTTCTTGAAATACAGCTGCCTCCAGAGACAGGAAAGAAAGGCAGGTGTGAAGACACACCTCTGAATTTGAATGTACAAGTGAGCAATCTTGCTCCGATGATTGGAAGGATGAGTGGTGAATTTGTTTCCTTAGCAGTTGATTCCAATTCCAGATTAAGGCTTTTTTTAATCCCCTAATTAAAGATGTCAAAAATATTGGGAGGGAGGGAAGGAGAAAGGAAAGGAGGCTATCCATTCCTCCATAATTTCCTATAGCTCAATCACATTATCCCAGAGTTGCCTTTTTTCATTTTGGCCACCTAATGAGAAGGAAGGACTCACTGGAGAAGAGCCTAATGCTGGGAAAGATGGAGGGCAATAGAAGAAGGGGACGACAGAGAATGAGGTGGCTGGATGGAGTCACTGAAGCAGCAGGGGTGAGCTTAAATGGACTCCAGAAGATAGTAGAGGACAGGAAGACCTGGAGGAACGTTGTCCATGGAGTTGCGATGGGTTGGACATGACTTTGCAACTAACAACAAAAACACAGCCCTCATCCAGCTGGAACTACAACTCCCGTATTCTCATCAGCCACATTGTTTTGAGAGTTACATTTCAAAAACGTGACATTTTAGCAGGGGTGTGTTGACTTTCTATATTCTAAGTAAGCTGTTCTAGATATGGAGCCCTCTTCCATCTGGAACATTCAGATACACTGAAAATATAACTCCCCATGTTTCATCAGACACATTGGCTGGGCACTTTCTGGGTTAAATCCATTAGGACATTTTAAGATGGATGCAAAGTAGAATTAAAAATATATTTTGATAGATTTTTCTCCTCCAGAGGGCAGTCTAGACCTTCACACTTTCTCCATCCTTTCTCAAACCTCCTGCTTGACATAAAAACCACAACTGAGGCCCTGTGCGATGAACACAACTGCTTGCCACAAAAGGAAACCACTCTCTGGTTTATAGCTTTTTCTAAATGTAAGAAGCGAAGGAGAATGTTAGTTTTCTTCATTGTTCCAAGGATGTCTTTTTCTTCTGAAACAAATCATTATTTGATTTTTCTGGGAACTTTCTTACTGCTCATGAAATCAGGTATTGTTTCTACTAAAAAACTATTCTTCTTCTTCTTCACTGTTTTCCTTCTCTTTCTTTTTCATTCCTTCTCCTCCATTGCTTCTCCTTCTCTTTCTCCTCCATTCCTTCTCCTCTATTCCTTCTTCTTCTCTTTATGCTCCATTCCTTCTTCTCCATCTCTTCTTCTCTTTGTCCTGCATTCCTTCTCCTCCATCTCTTTCCCTTCTCATTCCTTCTCCTCCATCCTTTCTCCTACATCTCTTCTCTTTCTCCTCCATCCCTTCTCCTCGATCCCTTCTCCTTCTCTTTCTCCTGCATTCCTTCTCCTCCATCGCTTCTCCTTCTCTTTCTCTTCCATTCCTTCTTCTCCATCTCTTCTCCTTTTCTTTCTCCTGCATTCCTTCTCTTCCATTCCTTCTCCTCCATCTCTTCTCTTTCTCCTCCATCCCTGCTCCTCCATTGCTTCTCCTTCTCTTTCTCCTCCATTCCTTCTCCTTCATTCCTTCTCTTTCTCCACTCCTTTTCCTTCATTCCTTCTCCTCCAAATTATTGCCAGAAACAAAATATGGGAAAGCCAACCAAGAGTTTTGAAAATAAAGTGGTTCAACTGAAAAAAAAAAGATCTAATGACTGATAATTTTATTTTCATCACTTCCTGAAAGTGCAAATCAAGTCTAGGGAATACTCTACTTTAGCTGTGATCCAAATCCATGTTTCTGTGTTCTGTAAATAATCTTGTGATTTGCCCAACAATGAATGGGATGTGGTTGAAAGCTGTTGGCATTCTCTTTTCCCACAGATCTTGCACTTTTGGAAGTTCTTTAAGTAATATAAGTGATTTGGGGTTTTTTTTTTCAAAAAAAGGAGATCCTGAATTCCTATTTTAAATTGGGAAATTAAATATGTGATAAATAAGTTAATGGTTTTGCTCAGGGTCCACAAATAAGCTCTGTATTGAATCTTTTCCACTGATATCTCAGAAAAGGAACATTCATAGTCCAAAATATACATTCCAAACTCTGTATCAATTTTCTGGGGATATTCTGGGGTACTGATATGGTTTTTCTTCTCTTAAGGAACTTCTCAAAGCGATTCAGTGTCCCAGACCAGAAGCAACATGGAAGTCCTAGAAGGAGAAGCTGCCACTTTGCCCTGTAACTTCACAACTTTCAGCTCCAGTCCATATCTTTATTGGTATCGTCAATATGGGAACCAAAGACCCGAACGAATCCTGACTGCTCACAAATACGGGAATAACCCCTTCCAGGAGGGAAAGTTTTCCACCACATTGGTTATAGAAAATCAGAATTTAGTTCCTCTGAACATTAGAAGTGTCTCTTTACTGGATGGAGCTGTTTATTTCTGTGCTCTGAACACCACAGTGAATCATCACCATATACAGACTTGCACAAAAATCAACGAAATGAAACCAACCTCAACCCTGTACAGAGAATTCTGTCCCAAAGGGCTAGCTGCATTCATCAGCATCATTTTTAAAAAGTGGTGGAGAATGAAACGATTACAATCCTATTGGACTTTCTAAAAGAAATATATTTACTTTTCACCTGGAAGAAGCCAGAATGGTTACAGTTCCAGGGAAACAATACTAGACAATTGACATTGAAGCATAAGGGAGAATAAGAAAGAACAGCTATCCAAAAAACTTTGTGTTCTGACACACACAGCACCCAAATCATACCACCACACACTGCCAACCACCACACAAAAACTAACCCTACCATACACAAAAAGGGGTATCAGAGATGAGAGCCAGAATTCTCCAACCCCTAAGAATAGCAATAGTCCACAAACCCACAGCTGCACTTCACCAGGAATTATCCAGAACCAAAGAGAAGACACAGAAGGATGAAAGAAACATTGGACTCTACAAAATTAATGTAATGATTGCAACCAATTATATGATGATGGATGCAAGTTAAAATAAAACAATGTAAAATAAAACAATGTAAAACAACATTAGCTGTTGTTAATGTTGAAACTCAACATTAAGAAAACCAAAAACATGGCATCTGGCCCTCTCAATTCCTGGCAAATAGATGGAGAAGAAATGGAGGTAGTGACAGATTTTATTTTCCTGGGCTCCAAGATCACCTCAGATGGGGACTGCAGCCAAAAAATTAAAAGATGCTTACTCCTGAGGAGGAAAGCTATGGCAAATCTAGACAGCATACTAAAAAGCAGAGACATCACCCTGCCAACAAAAGTGCGTATAGTCAAGGCCATGGTTTTCCCAGTTGCAATAAATGGATGTGAAAATTGGACCACAAGAAAGGCTGAGCGCCAAATAATTGAGGCCTCTGAGCTATGGTGCTGGAGAAGACTCCTGCGAGTCCCTTGGACTGCAAGGCGATCAAACCGGTCAGCCCTAGAACAGTTCAACCCCAACTGCTCTTGAGAAGGCCAGATCCTGAAATTGAAACTCAAGTACTTTGGCCACCTAATGAGAAGGAAGGACTCAATGGAGAAGAGCCTGATGCTAGGAAAGACTGAGGGCAATAGAAGAAGGGGATGACAGAGAATGAGGTAGCTGGATGGAGTCACTGAAGCAGTAGGTGTGAACTTAAACGGACTCCAGAAGATGGTAGGGAACAGGAAGACCTGGAGGAACGTTGTCCATGGGGTTGCGATGGGTCAGACATGACTTTGCAACTAACAACAACAACACAGCCCTCATCTGACTGGAACTACAGCTCTTTATATTCTCATCAGCCACATTGCTTTGAGAGTTACATTTCAAAAACTTGGCATTTTAGCAGGGGTGTGTTGACTTTCTATATTCTAAGTAAGCTATTCTAGATATGGAGCCCTCTTCCATCTGGAACATTTAGATACACTGAAAATACAACTCCCCATGTTTCATCAGACACATTGGCTGGGCACTTTCTGGGTTAAATCCATTAGGACATTTTAAGATGGATGCAAAGTAGAATAAAAATATATATTTTGATAGATTTTTCTCCTCCAGAGGGCAGTTTAGACCTTCACACTTTCTCCATCCTTTCTCAAACCTTCTGCTTGACATAAAAACCACAACTGAGGCCCTGGGCGATGAACACAACTGCTTGCCACAAAAGGAAACCACCTTCTGGTTTATAGCTTTTTCTAAATGTAAGAAGTGAAGGAGAATGTTAGTTTTCTTCATTGTTCCAAGGATGTCTTTTTCTTCTCAAACAAATCATTATTTGATTTTTCTGGGAACTTTTTTACTGCTCATGAAATCAGGTATTTTTTCTACTGAAAAACTCTTCTTCTTCTTCACTGTTTTCCTTCTCTTTCTCCTTCATTCCTTCTCCTCCATTCCTTCTTCTCCATCTCTTATTCCCTTTCTCCTCCATTCCTTCTCCTCTATTCCTTCTCCTTTTCTTTATGCTCCTTTCCTTCTCCTCCATCTCTTCTTCTCTTTCTCCTGCATTCCTTGTCCTCCATCTCTTTCCCTTCTCTTTCTCCTCCATCCTTTCTCCTCGATCCCTTCTCTTTCTCCTGCATCCCTTCTCCTCCATCCCTTCTTCTTCTTTCTTCTGCATTCCTTCTCCTCCATCTCTTCTCTTTCTCCTCCATCCTCCTCCATTGCTTCTCCTTCTCTTTCTCTTTCATTCCTTCTCCTCCATCTTTTCTCCTTCTCTTTCTCCTCCATTCCTTCTCCTCCATCTCTTTTCCTTCTCTTTCTCATCATTCCTTCTCCTCTGTCTCTTCTCTTTCTCCTCCATCCCTTCTCCTCCATTGCTTCTCCTTCTCTTTCTCCTCCATTCCTTCTCCTTCATTCTTCTCTTTCTCCTCCATCCCTTCTCCTCCATCTCTTCTCCTTCTCTTTCTCCTCCATTCCTTCTCCTCCATCTCTTATTCTCTTTCTCCTCCATTCCTTCTCCTCTATTCCTTCTCCTTCTCTTTATGCTCCATTCCTTCTCCTCCATCTCTTCTTCTCTTTCTTCTGCATTCCTTGTCCTCCATCTCTTTCCCTTCTCTTTCTCTTCCATCCTTTCTCCTCCATCCCTTCTCTTCTCCTCCATCCCTTCTCCTCATCCCTTCTCCTTCTCTTTCACCTTCATTCCTTCTCCTGCATTCCTTCTCCTCCATCTCTTCTCTTTCTCTTCCATCCCTTCTCCTCCATTGCTCCTCCTTCTCTTTCTCCTCCATTCCTTTTCCTCCATCTCTTCTCCTTTTCTTTCTCCTGCATTCCTTCTTCTGCATTCCTTCTCCTCCATCTCTTCTCTTTCTCTTCCATCCCTTCTCCTCCATTGCTTCTCCTTCTCTTTCTCCTCCATTCCTTTTCCTCCATCTCTTCTCTTTTTCTTTCTCCTGCATTCCTTCTCCTCCATCTCTTCTCTTTCTCTTCCATCCCTTCTCCTCCATTGCTTCTCCTTCTCTTTCTTCTCCATTCCTTCTCCTTTATTCCTTCTCTTTCTCCACTCCTTTTCCTTCATTCCTCCTCCTCCAAATTATTGCCAGAAACAAAATATGGAAAAGCCAACCAAGAGTTTTGAAAATAAAGTGGTTCAACTGAAAAAAAAAAGATCTAATGACTGATAATTTTATTTTCATCACTTCCTGGAAGTGCAAAGCAAGTCTAGGGAATACTCTACTTTAGCTGTGATCCAAATCCATGTTTCTGTGTTCTGTGAATAATCTTATGATTTGCCCAACAACGAATGGGATGTGGTTGAAAGCTGTTGGCATTCTCTTTTCCCACAGATCTTGCACTTTTGGAAGTTCTTTAAGTAATATAAGTGATTTGGGGTTTTTTTTTTCAAAAAAAGGAGATCCTGAATTCCTATTTTAAATTGGGAAATTAAATATGTGATAAATAAGTTAATGGTTTTGCTCAGGTTCCACCAATAAGCTCTGTATTGAATCTTTTCCACTGATATCTCAGAAAAGGAAGATTCATAGTCCAAAATATACATTCCAAACTCTGTATCAATTTTCTGGGGATATTCTGGGGTACTGATATGGTTTTTCTTCTCTTAAGGAAATTCTCAAAGCGATTTGGTTTCCCAGCCCCAAAACAGCATGGAAGTCCGAGAAGGAGAAGCTGCCACTTTGCCCTGTAACTTCACAACTCTCAGCTCCAGTCCATATCTTTATTGGTATCGTCAATATGGGAACCAAAGACCTGAACGAATCTTGACTGCTTACAAATACAGGAATAATCACTTCCAGGAAGTAAAGTTTTCCACCACATTGGTTTTAGGAAGTCTGAATTCAGTTCCTCTGAACATTAGAAATGTCTCTCTACTGGATGGAGCTGTTTATTTCTGTGCTCTGAACCCCACAGTGAATCATCACTGTATACAGTCTCACAGAAAAGTCAATGAAATGAAACCCACTTCAATTCTCTACAGATAATTCTGCCCCAAAGGGCTAACTTCTCATTCATCCAAGGAATGGGGTTTCTTGCATTCGTCAGCATCATCTTTAAAAAGTGGTAGAGAATGAAACAATTGCAATCCTACTGCGCTTTCTAAAAGGAATGTATTTTTTTTTCACGTGGAAGAAGCCAGAGTGATTATAACTTTAAAGAAACAATTATGGATAAATTGACATTGAAGTATCTCAAGACAGAAGGAAGAGTGAGAAAGATGCAGGAAACAAAATATGGAAAGACAAAGACCTTTGGTAGGGACCAAGTGAATATTGGAAAGAAAAGCAATAGAGAGACCAGTAGCATTGGTTACACTTGGTGCAAAGAAAGTAAAAGAGCTCTTAGTCACAATTAGAATGGACAGGATCTCAACTCAACAATGATAGAAGTCCCTTATTTTGAGCAGCACCAAAAAATTACAGTATTTTGATCCTTTGCTAGGTGCTTGGGAAGGACGTGATAGTTAAATGTATATAATATTCACCGAAAATGATAATAATTGCTACTACTACAACTTTAAATCCAGTGGTTTGTATTTTTTGAAATAAAAAAAGTTTTTTTTAAAGTATTCTCAATGTACAACAATTATTCAGAAGGAGGAAAGAAAGTAGCAGAGGTACCAGCAGCTGCACCCACAGCTATCCTGGGTGTTGTTGTTGGTTTTTTTTTTTTTTTGACACTCCTGTGGACACCCCTGTAATTCAGGGAATTTGTACAGCTGAGAGAAAACTGTGGCAGACAAGTTGTGGTTGTGAAAACACCCGTCAACTTTCATTATATGATGGTTCTTGCAGTTCATAATATCCACCCATTTTTTTCAATGTAGACCCTCCTACCAGTGTGGTAGCTGCATTGATATAATTGACAGCCAATGAAAACATCATGGGACTCCCTGCTGAAACACACACACACACACATACACACACACAAAACACACAAACCATAAGAGAGAGAAAGCAAAGAAGAAGTGAGGACAGATTCTTGCAAGTGCTCATTTTTTTTAGAAAATATACCAGCTGCCTTGACTAAATCAGATAAACTGAGATGTTACAGTTCCTCAACGTGAATTTGGCACCCTTGTGGCTAATATTATTGGCTCTCATGTCAAGTAAGTAATATTTAGTAAATCATTTTATACTCTTCCTGGGACCTATGTCCCCTTTTCTTTCTAGGTTCTGAGATTTCCTGTAGCTCTAAGAATTTCCTCTTTGGCTCAAGGTAAAGTTTTATACTTTATATTCCTTTATTTTATTCTGCCGTTTCCCCAAGAATTAAGGGTGGCTGGCATCAAATCTCTCTTCATTTTGCACTCTCTAAAACAATGTAACTTGAGAAAGAGTAACACATGATCATACATGGCTTTTCAGTACTGAGGAGGGAGGTTCTCACCCTTAGCTTAAATAGCCCACCACAATGACGCTCACAAGTGTATGGAGAATTCTCCTAATCAAATGGTAAAAATTTTGCATCATAACCAGCTTCAAAGACAGCTGTGCAATGGCCAACAATTTCAATTCAATCATGAAATTTGAGTAGAAATAGAAACAGTTGACAGTCCTGTTTAGAAAACCTCCTTTGTAAGTTACTTCATGAGATTTCTCTTTCAAATCTTCCAGGAGTGATAGGGTGTAGATGGCTTTAGGGCAATATTCCTTTATTTAACAAGGCTAAAACCACAGAAAGAAATGTCACCTTAGAGGTCTTCTAGTCAACCTTAGAGGTCTTCTACTCAACCCCCTTGCACAGATAGGAATCCATTAAATCATCTCTGTCAGGAACCCATTTATCTTCCAGTTGATACTTCCACTTAGGATGAACACATCACTCCTTCAGGGAGACAGTTCTACTGCTCAGTGCTCCTTCTGCAAGGACTTCCAAGTGGTATCTTTGATCCATGAAGTTCCAATAGTTTCATCAGGACTTCAAGTGTTGACTTCATGTTCTTTTGCCTGTGTTTGATTTAACAGGAATCCTTCTCTGCCATGCTGAAAAGCCTGAGCAGCAACCTCTTCTAGAAGCATTAAATGGAAGAAAAACTGATCTTTCTTGCTCCCACCCAAATATTCAAGTCAATGAATACATATTTTGGTACCAACAGTTTCCTAACCAGCCTCCGCATTTCATTGCATCTGGATACAAGGCAACGTCAAAAAGCAACGAAGTAGAGCATATTTCCTTGGTTGTTGCTGATGATCGAAAGACTAGCACCCTTTCCTTCACCAAAGTCACCCTGGAGGACCAGGCATTGTATCTCTGTGGTGTAACAGACACTGTGTCACATCCTAGCAACTCTCTTTGACAAAAACCCCTTCATGCAATTCAGGTGACACCAGACAGAGGAAAGAAAAGTGGATGTGAAGACACACCTCTGACTAAAAGTTCCTGGGAGATAAGATAAGATTACCTTTATTATCATTTTTATACTGTGGGCACAATGGCACACATCAAAAATGAAATTTAGTTGCCTGCTCTCAAAGTGAAACATATACATGACACACACCTAAACATACTATGAACAACATATGTATAGACCCACAACCCTATATATACATAGCAAATAAATATTAAATATTGTCCATCTTGAATATATAACGGAAGGAGGAAGCTTAAGAGTTTGCAAGGTTAATGCTGTATGGAATGAAACTCTGGCTGAATCTGGATGTTCTGCTATGGATACTACGAAACCTCCTTGCAGAAGGTAACAAGGAAAACAGGTTGTAAAGAGGATGTGTAGTGTCCCAGATAATCTTACGGACCCTGTTCAAGCAGCGCTTCTGTGCTATGTCCTGGATGGGAGGGAGGGAACTGCCAATGATCTTTTCGGCCATTCTCACCACTCTCTGCACCGCCTTCCTGTCTGAAGCAGGGATGCCTCCAAACCAGACTGTGATGCTGTATGACAGGATGCTCTCGATTGTCCCCCTGTAGAAAGTGGTCAGGACAGGAGAAGGAAGATGTGCTTTTCTCATGCAGCGCAGAAAATGCAGGCACTGCTTTGCCTGCTTCACCAGTTTCTCACTGTTGAGCGACCAAGTCAGCCTATTCATTAGCTGCATATTCATTTATGCACAGAGAAGTGTGGCTGTGCCTTTGATTGAAAGGATAAATGAGGAATGAGAAGAAAGGAAGAAAGGAAGAATTAGGGATTAGGAGAAGGAAGGGAGGTGACAGGAAGAAGGAAGGAAAGTGATGGGAAGGAAGGAAGGAAAGTGATGGGAAGGAAGGAAGGAAGGAAGGAAGGAAGGAAGGAAGGAAGGAAGGAAGGAAGGAAAGAAGGAAGGAAGGAAGAAAGGAAGGAAGGAAGGAAGGAAGGAAAGAAGGAAGGAAGGAAGGAAGGAAGGAAGGAAGGAAGGAAGGAAGGAAGGAAGGAAAGAAGGAAGGGAGGGAGGGATGGAGGGAGGGAGGGAGGGAGGGAGGAAGGGAGACACCCCTAGGAAGTTTCTATGGTTGAAGGATGGATCAGAAAAATGAATAGAAGAAGACAATGGCAGTCCATTTAAATATGGTTGGAATGTATCCTAGATGAGTATCTTCCTCTAGTCAGCTGAAGTTGAATTTAACTCAAAGGATTATTAATCTTTTTTCCTTTGTACATCAAGAAAATATCATGTATCTTTAATTTTAAGAGGAAAACCCATGGATAAGTCAGGAATACGTTTTTGTGAAGGAGTTGTAAATAATCCTCACTCCAGTGACAAAGCTCCAGTCTCCTGTCTCTGCAGAACAATCATAATCCAATCAAGCTATTTTAGATATGGAGCCTTCTTTATGTTGGTAGAAGCAAACAATTTACCTGTTTATAGATTTTTGCCCTCCAAGGGGCAGTGTAGACTTTCCTACTTTCTCCATTCTTTCTCAAATCTCCCGCCTGACTTAAAAAAAACACAACTGAGGATATGTGTGATGAACACAACTGCTTGCCCCAAAAGGAAACCACCTTCTCACTTATAAATGTAACAAGCAAAAAAGAATGTGGGTTTTCTTCAGAGTTCCAAGAACGTCTTTTCCTTCTCAAACAAACCATTACTTGATTTTTCTGGGAATTTTCGTATTGCTGTTGAAATCAGGTAATATTTCTACTATAAAAACTGTTCTTCCCCTTCCCTTTTTAATATTCCCCCAAATATTTCTTTCTCAGAGGGGGGGGGGCTGCTGTCTTCCCACACTTTCCTTTGGTTTCCCTTCAGAGAAAGCATCCTGTTGACAGAGAGAACCATCAATCCAAAAATATGGTATCCACACAGATGTTCAAAAACTACAAAACACATCCATAGCCAACTTGTGTTTTGTTTGACATCCCTGTGGGCACCCCTGCTGTTTGGCTGAGAGAAGACTTTGGCAGACAAACTGTGGTTGTCCCTCTTCCAATCTATTAGAAGCCATCTTTCATGATAAGCTGGTTCTTGCATTCCATCTTAATAAACCCCACGTTGCCTTCCCGATTTAGACTCTCCTACCAGTGTGGGGAGCTAGACTCATATACATATAAATTAAATTCATGTAATTGACAGCCAATGAAACAGTCAAGGGATTCTCTGCTGAAACAGACAAATAAATAAATAAATAAATAAACAAACCCCACAATAGAGAGAAGGCAGTCAGAAGGCAAGAGAGATTCTTGTGAGGCCTCATTGTTTAGACAATATACCACCTGCTTTCTCTACCTGTATCAGTTCTTGATCATGATTTTGCCATCCTTCTTGTTAATATTATTGGTATATGAATGTGTCCAATCTCAACTGGGTTTTGTTTCTTTTCTTTCTTTCTTTTTTTTTTTTACAGTTAATGCTTCTCTCCCAAAATTTCTTAAGCATCTCATTCTAGCCTCTGGGGATCTTTCATGATAGGCTGGTTTTTGCATATTACAGAATTGGGAGGGACCTTGGAGGTCTTCTAGTCCAACCTCCTGCTCAAGGAGGAGACTCTATACCATTTCAGACAAATGGCTGTCCAGTTGTCCAATGGTGCAGTTGTAACACGTCCCTTCTCTATAAACCAACATCCCTCTCTCCCCCCTCCCACCCAGTGGCTATGAGCCTACCCAGTGTTCAAGTCAAGTCAAGTCAAGTCAAGTCAAGTAAATTCAAGTCAAGTCAAGTCAAGTCAAGTCAAGTCAATTTAATTCATTTCCCCTACCTAACAAGGGCAGCAGAAGCAGAGCATCAGCCAATCGTGGCCCAGAACTGCCCCCCTCCCCATTATCATTACATTATGGCCAGAAGCCTGGGCGTGCAAGCCCAACCCTACCCCCGGGGTTTCCTGAGAGATGTGAGCAAAAGCACTTTGGAGAAGGGAACCAGCCCTATTGCAGTGGCTGCTCTGCAAAACTACAAGCCCCAGAGTTCCTCACCACAATATCACCACAATAAACTCCCTCATCTTCTCAATGAAGTTTTCTCTCCTACCAGTGTAGGGATCTGTATTTGTATAATTGACAACCAATGAAACAGTCATGGGACTTCCTGCTGAAGCACACAGAAAAACCACAACAGAAGGAATCAGAAGAAGGCAAGAGATATTCTCTGCAAGGACTCATTTTTAGACAAGATACCAGTTGATTTGACTCCACTGGATCAACTGAGACGCTTCAGTCCCTCACCATGAATTCAGCATCCTTTTTGTTAATATTATTGGCTCTCATGTCAAGTAAGTATTTAGGAAATCACTTTCTACTCTTCCTCTGATCTGTGTCCACTTTTCTTCCCAGGTTCGGTCACTTCTCGTAGCTCCAATACTTTGCTCCTTGTCTTAAAGTTTTATACTTTATATTCATTGTTATTCTGTGCATTTTTGTCTTTCTTCCAAGAACTTAAGGTGCTTTACATAAGATCATTCCTCATTCCCCACCCCCCAAAAAAATGTCTGAGGAAGAGTGACTAACCCATGATTACTCCATGGGTTTCCAAAACTGAGGTGGGGACTTCAGCGTGAGCTTTTCCATCTTAGTCCAAGAGCTTAAACAGCACTGACTCTTACAATTGTCTTGGAAAAAATCTTCCCAGTGTAAGAAACCCCAGACAGCTGTATGGAGAATTCTCCTAATCATATACCCAGAATTTTCCATTGCAATCAGCCTCCAGTATAGCTATGCAATGATCAGCAATTTCAATTCAACGATGGAATTTGAGTAGAAGAAGTAGAAGAAGTTGATGGTTCCCTTTACAAAACTTCCTTTCCACTTATTACAAAATATTTGTCTTTAAATATTTCTAGGAGAGGGATAATATAGAGATGGTGTGTAGGGCAAGGATCCTTCATTTAAAAAAACCTAGAATCATAGAAAAAGATGCAACCAAAAGTCAGTTTAGAGGCCCTCCAGTTGCACAATACAGGAATCTAACAAACCATCTCTGCCAAGAACCCACTCAGTTCCCAGCTGATATCTCCAATTAGGTAGGACCTACCACTCCTTCAGGGAGACTGTGTTACTGCTCAGCACTTCTTATTAAAGACATCCAAGTGATATTTTTGATTCAAGAACATCCTAGAGTTCCATCAGGGACCACAGATGTTGAATTCCTGTTAATTTGCTTCTGTCTGACTTTACAGGAACTCTTTTCTGCCAGGCTGAAAACCCCGTCCAGGAACCCCTGCTAGAAGCATTCAATGGAAGAGACAAAGATCTTTCTTGCTCCCATCCCAATATTCAAATAAGTGAAAATATCTTTTGGTACCGACAGTTCCCTAGCCAGCCTCCTGATCTCTTTGCAAGTGGATACCAGGGAACATCAAAAAGCTCTAAAGAGGAGAGAGTTTCTTTGATTATTGCTGAGGATCGAAAGACTAGCACCCTCTCCTTCACCAAAGTCATCTTTGAGGATCAGGCATTCTACCTCTGTGCTCTGGTGGACACTGTGTCACATCCTAGTGAGTCTCTTCGGCAAGAACCCTTTCTTGCAAAGCAGCTGCTACAGCTGCCACCAAGACAGGAAAGGAAGATAACCTCACAATCTGAATGTGCCCAGGAGCATTTTTGCCCATGATGATTGAAAGGATGAGTGATGAATTTGTTGACTTAGCAATTTAATTCAATTCCATATTAAGGTTTTTGGGGGAGGGAGAGAGGGAGGGAGGGAGGGAGAGAGGGAGGAAGGAAGGAAGGAAGGAAGGAAGGAAGGAAGGAAGGAAGGAAGGAAGGAAACAGCATCAGGAAGTTTCTATGGTTGAAGGATGGACCAGAAGGATGAATAAAAGAAGACAGAAGAATTTTTGCCCATGATGATTGAAAAGATGAATGATGAATTTGTTGACTTAGCAATTTATTTCAATTCCATATTAAGGTTTTTGGGGGAGGGAGGGAGGGAGGGAGGGAGGAAGGAAGGAAGGAAGGAAGGAAGGAAGGAAGGAAGGAAGGAAGGAAGGAGATGGCATCAGGAAGTTTCTATGACTGAAGGATAGACCAGAAGGATAAATAAAACAAGACAGAAGCATTTTTGCCATGATGATTGAAAGGATGAGTGATGAATTTGTTGACTTAGCAATTTAATTCAATTCCATATTAAGGTTTTTTGGGGGAGGAGGGAGCGAGGGAGGGAGGGAGGGAGGAAGGAAGGAAGGAAGGAAGGAAGGAAGGAAGGAAGGAAGGAAGGAGATAGCATCAGGAAGTTTCTATGACTGAAGGATAGACCAGAAGGATGAATAAAACAAGACAGAAGCATTTTTGCCATGATGATTGAAAAGATGAGTGATGAATTAGTTGACTTAGCAATTCATTTCACTCCTAGATTAAGGCTTTCTTTCTTTCTTTTTGAATTCCCTAATTAAACATGACAAAAATATAAAGGAAGGAAGGAAGGAAGGAAGGAAGGAAGGAAGGAAGGAAGGAAGGAAGGAAGGAAGGAAGGAAGGAAGGAAGGAAGGAGGGGCAAAATATGCTGGATTTTTTTATCAGTTAAAAGAATGTGTTTTTCTGTTTAATCTTTGCAAAACCAATTAATAAATAAACATTTAAAGGAGAATATTTGTAGCTCCGGGTTAAAAAGAGGGATCCTTGATACTCTCTGAGCTTGCTTGTTTTCTTGCAGATGTTTCATGACCCAAACTAGGTAACATCATTAGTGCTCCCAATAATGTTACCTAATTTGGATAATGAAATGTCTGCAAGAAAATAAGCTCAGAGAGCACCAGGGATTCCTCCAATATTTAAAGAAATTAAACTAAAAATGTAAACATACAAAAACTCTACTCACTGTTGCATATTGATGTTTTATATATGCATCGGATTAGCAATGTCTTCATTATTGATGGGTTAAATGGAAAAAAAATCACCATATTCATACTACTATTCATAATTACTTCTCTCTTCTGTTCTTCTTTGGCTCCAAAATACAAAATAAAAATCCCAGAAAACCTCATTGTTTCTATTTCACACATTTCAAGTCCAACATATCTGAAGGCCATCAAGTTGGAAAAGAATGATTTAAAAAAAAAAAAAAAAAAAACTCTGTTTTTGGTAGTCAAAGTGCCCAATGAAAAATGTGGTACATTTCAGTAGCTTCATCATTTCTGCTTTGAAACTCACAATGCTATGTCACTTTCAAACACAAGGTGTAGTTGTCAAGCTGTTTCCACTCGCAGGGCGAACTAGTCACTGTACAAATATAAAATGAAAAGTTTTACATTTTTACACAGAGACATTCTGACCACTAACCACATCCTACGAGGTTCAGCCATTAGAAGATTTATTTTGAATTGCTTAGTAAAAAAAAAAAGTTGAGCTGCATTACACAAGTTTTGTAGTGCAAACCTCGGAAGCCAATCAAAATATATTTCTTTCCTTTGCTTCTACATCTCTTCTTAGTTTCTTCTCTGCCAGATCAAGTAAGATGTTTCTTTCATGGTCCTTGGTGCTGATAATCCTGGGTAAGTGAACACAATTTCTTCTCTCTTGCCTCCCCCATTCAGAAACCTCCTTAAAATTATATAAATGAGACTAGTGCTTACATCCCTTTATTATGGGTGCAAACTAATTCTTAAGTAAGTGATCACTGATTATTTTTTTTTTTGTCTTGATGACTTAATGTCAGTGCCTAAGATTCAATAGCATGGATATTGAATGTACATTTAAGACTAGGGGTGACATGAGAGCAGTCTTTCAATATCTCAGGGGTGGCCACAAAGAAGAGGGAGTCAAGCTATTCTCCAAAGCACCTGAGGGCAGGACAAGAAGCAACGGATGGAAACTGATCAGTGAGAGAAGCAACCTAAAACTAAGAAGAAATCTCCTGACAGAGATGAATGACTTGCTTCCAGAAGTTGTGGGTACTCCAATATTGGAAGTTTTTAAAGAAGAGATGGTATAGGATTTCCTGCCTGAGCAGGAGGTTGGACTAGAAGACCTCCAAGGTCCCTTCCAACTCTGTTATTCTGGTCTGAATTCCCGAGACCCCTGTGGGTCTGATTCATGGCATTGCCCACAAGGATCTAGGGGTAAGGTGATTTATGTCACCTGCTGGAGAGAGGAATAATTTGGGCATTGTAAGTGGCCCCTGTCACTTTGGATAGTGAGATAGGGGCATATAAAACAAGCAAGCAAGCAAGCAAGCAAGCAAACAAACAAATATTCACTTTATGTGGAACCGCTATGTAAAATAAAAATGTTCTACATATTTTAACTGGAAAAATTTCAGACACTATAATAGTCACCCATTCTCTTAGTGGTGCAGTGGTTAGAATGCAGTATTGCAGGCTATTCCTGCTGATTGCCAGCTGCCAGCACTTCGGCAGTTCGATTCTCACCGGATCAAGGTTGACTCAGCCTTTCATCTTTCCAAGATCAGTAAAATCAGGACCCAGATTTTGGGGGTCATAGGCTGACTCTGTAAACCATTTAGAGAAGGCTGTAAAACACTGTGAAGCGGTATATAAGTCTAAGTGCTATTGCTATTTCTACTCTACCAACCATATACACTATTGTTGTTGTTTTTCCTGCAGAAAAGAGCACAGGACAGACCGTGATCCAAACAGAAGGCAGACTGACCATCACAGAAGGACAACCTGTATTTCTCAATTGCACTTATGACCGAAGTGTAGATTATCAACCAAGCCCATTCTGGTACATTCAATATCTTGGACAACCACCTAAGCTTTTTAAGAGCACTTTTTCAACACCTAATCTAGATGCTAGCCTCCCACGAAACTTCAAGGTCATCTATAGTAAAGTAGAAAAGACTTTCAACATGAAGAAGTCCACCAGCCAACTCAACGACTCAGCTATCTACTTTTGTGCACTGAAAAACACAGTGAGGAAGGACAGAAGAGAAGCAGATCAAAAACCCACAGAAGAGGATGTGCAATGAAGAAGAGGATGTACAAGATGTTCAAAGACTTCAGCTACAATCAAATATACAACTATATTTGAGGCGTTTGTGAGTATCTTCTCTGACCTGGTCTCTTCTACATAGGCTATTAGATGGGAATTACCAGATAGGAATCATAAGCCCATTCAACTGATGGTACCATGTTGAAGCTGATTGAGATCCAATTAAATGGGGCTTTTATTACTTTCTACCACTTTGAGGAAATGTGTTTGTTCCATCTCAGTATTCTTTGCCTTCCTGGTCTTGTTTGTTTTATTTGGAATCAGAATTTCACATGTTTGGAATGTCTTGTGGATTCAAATTCTCAGAACTCCATCCAGTCAGATATAGAGAAGTTTCTTGGCAAGAACACAAAATTATGAGAGCCCATTGAAGTGAGTGGCTATAATATATTTAAAGAAATAAACAGATAAATAAAGCTATTAATTGACATCAAGGGCAAACTTTGAATTGTCAAGCTGTCATTTGACCTGTATATTTGTCTTGCAAAATTTATATAAGATGATGGTTGGACATAAGACAGAGAAATTTTACAGTCAGTCGGTTGGATTCCCTGATTATTAATTATATTTGATTTATGGAATCTTGATCTAATTAATGGCATTCATTTTATTTTTAAACCAAATACAATAGCATTGGCATAATGAGATATACACTTACTCCAACCATTTCAAGGTCTATCACTGCAATGGATTGACAACAAATTCTAGCATGGTCCTCTTTCCATTTTGTCATTTTTTCCTTTCCTCCAGAAGAAGCAATAGATATAAAATTGAATTCTGGTGTTGACTACTTAGGGTAACTCTATATTTAACTCATGTCTTCTACTCTGAAAAAGCTTTTATTTATTCCCTTTCTGTTGTATTCAATTAGGATACTTCCACCCCCCAGTTTTATTTAGAATGTTCTTATCAGAAGAATAATAGCTATATCTTTCTTTACCATAAAGTTTGTAAGAGAGAAATGAGTGACGGAGACCAAAACTTGTTATAAAAAGGGCATAATTGTTGATTAGATCTACCTAGGAATAGGCTTCTTATGCCACGGTTCTGACAGATGAAACTCTTCAAAAGAAATTTGAGGCATTGTTTACTTTTAAGAATCTTTATTTTGAGTAGCATAATATCGGCACTGCATAATCGAAGTCAAAAACTGAATTCCCCTCCCCTCAGCACATAGTATCAAAGCACAATTCCCTCCTCCAATTAACAGTCATAAATCACATTCCCCAAGTAGCTTGAAGCACAGGCTTCCTCTCCAGTTCTCCAGCCCACCAATTCCTTATCAACTCTGGTTACAATAACCTTGTTTCTCACACTAGGTTTAGTGTTGTTATGTCTAGCTGGACTCTCATTCACATCCCCCCTCCCAACATCCTCAACTATAAAAGCAAAAGGTAAAAGATGGCTACATTTCCATCTGTTGTCAATACAAAAACATCCAATGTTAGCAGTGTTGACATCTTATTCCTCCTGAAACTAATATATTTTTATCAGTAAAAGCTATCAACATGTGGTTTCTTAATCATTGATTTATATTTTCAAAAGAAGAATGTTTTTTCATTGGACAGTCTCACCTTGTCAAGGAAAAGAATAACTGAAAAAGAGTAAAGAGATTTAAAAAAACAAAGACATGGATTCTTCTCTTCTTTATAGCATCAAGTGAAGCATATCTTCTTAATCTTCTGAAAATTTTTTAGTAGTGA